ATATTTGTACGCCCGTGTTCATGACACCATTATTCACAGTAACCAAAAGCTAGGAACAACCCAAATGCCCCTCCATGAATGAATGCATAAATAAAATGTGGTGTATAGATTAATGGGATATTATTCAACCTTTAAAAAAAGAAATTCTGACCCATGCCACAGTATGGATGAACCTTGAAGATATTGTGCTAAGTGAAATAAACCAGACACATAAGGGTAAATGTCGTGTGATCCCATGTGTGAGCTAAGATACCTAGAAGAGTCAAAGCCAGAGACAATGAAGAGAACACTGGTCACCAGGGCCTGGGGATAAGCAGAAATGGGGAGCTGGTGCTGAATGGGGCCTGAGTTCCAATTTGGAAAGATTGACGTGATTCTGGAGCTCTAGGGTGGTGACGGTCACACAGCACCGTGGAAGAGGAAGTACATAATGGCACTGCACTGTACGCTTCAAAGTGTGGTAAATTGTACGTGTATTTTGGTACAATAAAAAAAAAAGCACACAAATTGTGTACACATGCCAACTAAAAAGAAGAGATGATCAGATTGCATTAAAAATGCAAGATTCAATCTTATTCTGCCTGCCAGAAACCCACTCTAAATGTCAAGACACAGATGGGTTCAAGTGGAAAAGGATGGGAGAAGGTATATCATGCAAACACTGACCCAGGACCGAAAGGAAGGAGAGACTGCTTTCAGCCAGGCCCCCAGGAAGGCCTCCCGGAGGAGGTGACATTTGAGCTGAGCTTTAAAGGCTTTGTAGTTTAGGGACTGAGAAGGCTGAGTTGAGTGTGTGTGTGTGTGTGTGTGTGTGTGTGTGTCGCGCGCGTGTGTGGTGAGATGAGTGGCACACAGGGAGTTAATTATACTGGCAGAAGGAGGTGAGCTGGGTTTGACAGTTTAGTGTGGTTAGATAATTATTTTGGGAGGAGAGGAAGAATTTTCCAGTCATGAGTGCAGTAGTATTCAAACCCAGGGAGACAGGCAGCCAGAAGATTAAAACCAAGCTTACAAAGGTGAACCTGGACTCACAGTGGGGAAAAACACAGCACTGAGGGTTCTCAACCCTGGAGGCCCATTAGAACCATCTGGGAAGCTTTTATTTATTTTTTTTAAAGATTGTGTTTATTTACTTATCAGAGAGAATACAAGCAGGGGAAGCCCCAAGTAGAGGGAGAAGCAGCCTCCCTGCTCAGCAGGGAGCCTGATGTGGGGCTCGATCCCAGGACCCTGGGATCATGACCTGAGCTGACGGCAGACACTCAGCTGACTGAGCCACCCAGGCATCAAATGTACCAACACCTGGGGCCTCCCAGCCAGTTAGATCAGAATCTCCACAGATGGGCCCCAGGTATGGGTCACCTTCAGAGCTCTCCAGCAATTCCAAGAGCAATAAGGGGTGAGACCCCCCGCACCACCAAAGGTTAAGTACACTGGGTTTGCTCCCCGCCAAATGCTAGCGCCTAGAACTGAGCCTGGCACGGAACAGACGGTCAGCGGATCTCTATACATGTCAGTTAATCCTAACGACAACCCCGCGACATAGGGAAAATGATGATGCCCGGTTCATAATAAGGAAACTGAGGCACAGAGATGTCAGGTCACAAGGTAATGTGACTACAAGGCTGATGAACATTGTGCTATGAAATACAGATAGCGTCACAGAGCCCAAACTCTTACGGGGTGTTCTACTCCCTTAGGGGTGTGGATCCCGAGAAACGTCCTATGGAGGCCCCTACAACCAACATCATATTCTCCCCCACCTGCCCCCCAAGTGACCGGCTTCCCTGCAAAGTCAGATGTGGCTCGGGGTGGGGAGGGGACAGGCAGGGGCAGAGAACCCAGGAGGCAGAAACCGAACTTGAAGCACTTAGAGGAAGGGGAAAGTGAACCCTGCCTGGGTACCAGAGCCACAGCAGAGACTTGGCGGCTGGAAACCCGCAGGGCGCCCTTCACAGGAACAAGGAAGGGGGAAGGACCCAGTGGCCAGGGCCACACCTCTGAGTGCCTGGAACCGTGAGCCCACTCACACCCCATCTGTCTCCCTTCCCTTCTCCCCGCTTTCTTCCCCTTCCCGGCACCTACTACCCAGCCCTTAGATATCGTACTTTTGCTTTTGGTGGGCAATTACACCATCCCCACCTGGAGCAGAAGTCCCCCTGGGAACAGGTTGCCTATTTTTGGTGGTGGGGTATAGAGGTGGTGGTCGATTTAATATCATTAAACAAAACAAAACATAAAAAACAATCACCCGGAAGCCCCTTTTCCTGGTGGAAGTACTCATTCCACCCCTATAGCGTCTTGCCCGATCATCTAGCTGTTGACACAGACACAGCCTTACACGTTTCCAATGAGTGTTATTATTTACATCACGATTCAGGATCCCGGGGTGGGGGGTCACCATGTACCCAGGCCCCCCATCGCCACCCTGGGAGAAGGATGGAGGACAGAGGAGGGGTGGGCGGAGCCTGTTGAGATGTTCCCAGGACACGTGCCTTCTGCTGGTCCCAGGTTGACACCCAGGATTCAGGGAGGGGACTTGCTCGAACACGGAGACATCACCCCCTTTCTCAGTCACTGCGGTGGACATCCAGGTAGTCCCGCCAGCAGTTCCTGGTCTGGTTCTACTTGGGGAAGCGGCTTCCCCAAAAAGGCAAGTTGAGTAGTTCTTGATTTTGGTCTTGATGTCTTCTGATGCTGAGTCCCAAAGACACCCCTGAAGCAGCTCGCAGCTCAATGTGACCCTCGGCAAAGACTCCGGAATCAGACCCGAAACCACAGGCGGTCAAAGCTTTTGTGTGTTTGGGGCCCCTGGGTGGCTCAGTCAGTTGAGCCTCTGCCTTCGGCTCAGGTCATGATCCCTAGGGTCCTGACTCCTTGTTCAGCGGTTTCTCCCCCCCGCCGCCCTTCCACTCTGCTTGTGCGATCTCTCTCTCTCTCTCTAATAAGTAAATAAAACAAAATAAAAAAATAATAAAATGGTTTAAAAAAAATCTTTTGTGTTTCTCTCCCGAGCCCAGAACAGGGTTTGGCACAGAACAGGGGCTCAGAAATAACTTGTTGAGTGAGTGAATGATAAAATGATAAAATGATAAAAACATACATGATCCCATAAACACGCAGGGCCACTGTTTTCCTGTCCTTATGAGACCCTGTCTAGGGAGATAAGTGGGGTTTAGCCCATTTTGGAAAATGACAACTGGCAATATCTTCTGTTTTTATTTAAACTTGGGAACATTGACTGGAGCAGACCATGCTCCTTGGTTTCGGGCACTCAGCGCATCACCAGTGTCCCAAAAAAGCCTCCCTTTGAAATAAACTTTCCTTTCAACCCATCCCCAATCCTATCCCAGCATCCCACAGCCACTCCTCCACCTTGTGTTTGACACTCGCCCTTCCAATCTGCTTTCTCGGTGTCGACCTCCAAATGCATCAGAGACGGGAGGCACCATTTACTTCGTGCTCACTGTGTGTTGGGCACTTTGCTAAGCACTTAATCTATCAAATCTCACATCATCATCACGTGCCCCTGAAGGAGTTGCTACTGTGGTCTCCACTTTACAGATGGGGAAACTGAAGCACAGAGACCTTCCGCCTGCTGCCGCAGGTCACCGCGTAATTGACAGAAATATACAAGACTGTCCTGCTTCTGTGTTTTCAGTTTCCATAAACAAGGTTCTGCTGAGGATCTTGTCCTGTGTTTTTCTGTTTTTCACGCAACACTCTGTGTGTAAGCCTTGTCCACACTGCTCTCTGACATTTAGCCTCTGGCTCTTCGCCACCTCAAACCGTCCCGAGGACACATCAGTTTTCGAGAGCTTTTACCCAGGAGTGGACCTGCTGGACAGGGGGTGGGGGGGGCACACAGGTGTCAAAATGCCCTTTCGAACATCCTGACTCCCACCAAAAGCACCGGACTTCCATTTACCAGCTCCCCACCAGCATCCCTGTTCATGAGGCTTCCTATTCTCGCTGGTCTGGAAGGTGCCTTGTGGGATCTCGAGTTTTCCTTTGCAGCTTTCCGATTACCGGGGCAGGTGCAGAGATCCTTGTCTTTCCTTTTTTTTTTTTTTTTTTTTTAATGACATTTGAACATACACATGCACACAAAATAGCAAGGAACATGATTTCAGAATAGAGTTCACTCTGATGAAAGAAGTGAGGTCCACCCAACTCCCGCCCCACTCCCCAGTTACGAGGAGTCCCCCAAGGGAGTCCAGAGCCCCCCACCATTCTCCCAAAGGCTCTGCCCAGGGAGAAGAGGGACCAGGCCCCTGGTAGAGCATCTGGGTCACAGGTGTCATCCCCCTGCCATTGTGCCCACGGCCTGGGGGCCTGGGACGGTAGGAACTTGGTTCCCTTCATATCCTGGAGCCAAACCTATTGTACCTGAGAAAGGATGGCCCTCGGGTAAGAGGAGGAGGCAGGCCATTAACTCCCACTTCCCCACTCACCAGGCCCCTGAGCCCTGCACAGGGCGCGTGTGGCTAAGTGCTCCTACTGTGCCCACACCACTACCTTCTTCCCCTTCAGGAAGCTTCTGAGGCCTCCTAACAGGCTGCCGCAAAAACACCCCTCAGCCAAGGCAGCCCAAATACAGGGCTGGTGGCTCCTAAGTCAGGCTCCTGGGCAGTGGGCAAGGTCGTGGGAGCCGGGGGAAGCCCATAGGGACACCGGACCCAATCAAATCACAATCCCCCAGGGCTTTGCCCTCGCTGTCCCTCCACCTGGAGCCCTCTCCTTGGTTTTCTACTCTAATCTCACCTTGTCCCCTAAAGCCTATATGGGACGGCTGGGGCCACCCTTCCTGCCCCCGGACTCCCGCCTCCTCCCTTACTGTGCTTCCTTCTCCCCAGGGCGCGCCCCGCCATCTGACATACTCTATGTCTTCCTCATTGTCTCTCCCCCCGCATCAGAAATAAACCCAGAGAACATACATAATCATCACTACCTAGCAGGCCACGGGCTCCCAAGAGATAGATGAAATTGATACGAGGTCATCCTACAAACACACATCTGAAATGTGTGGCTTTAATGTACTTTTACATACAAACACCACCCAGTTCGAGCAGGGAAACATTTCCAGAGGGCTGCTTTGCACCCCCTCCCAGCCCCTCTCCTCCCCCCTCCGTGGTAGCATCACGCTGAATCCCACTGTCTGCCCTGGAACGTCATTTAAATGAATGATCATCACACGGAGTCCTGTGTTTGGCTTCTTTGGCTCAAAAGAACGTCCATGCGATCGGCCCATGCTGTTGCGTGCGATGGTGATTAGGGCTTTTCTGTGGCTCTTCTATTGCCCAATATTCCATCATTTCCTTCATCACACTCTTGCTGCTGGGCATGTGGGTTATCTTGGCCGGGAGCTACAAACATTCCCGTATGTCTGTTGGTGGACACCTGCCTAGGAACGGAACCATGCGTGCGGGGAAGCATAGGTCAGTGGACTCGAGGAGGAGCTGCCCAACCGTTTTCTAAGGTGGTTGCACCATCTGAGATTCCCACCAGCAGTGTGAGCTCTGGGGCCACTAGCTTCCACGCCAGCCCCCAGCGACAGCACGCTCTTTGTTTCCTGCTCCCAGTGGGTGACTACGGCCTCTCCTGTCCCTGCTGCATGAGGATGTGGGGTGATCAAGGAACCTCTGCTGAACGTTTGGCTCCTCGGGTACACTCTAGAGGAGGCCTCTCTGTTTGGCAAGGGGGGTGGGTCTGTACCTTGCACCTGAGGGGGGACAGCCCCTGGCGGCCACGCTGTCTCAGGAGCAGCTGCCCGTTTCACACCCTGGTCACACTTAATACCCCAGGGTGGGGCCAAGGCTGGGCTGACACATTCAGATAGGACTTGGCCCAATGCCCAAGGTCCCCCCAGTGGAAAGAGAGAATGAAGGGAGAAGATCACCCGGGCCCAGACAGAGCCCTGCAGGTGGAATGTCAGCAAGCTGCTGGCCCCTGGTGCCCAGGGGTGCCCGCCGGGCACAGCCATCTTTCCCCTTCCCAGGATGCACCAAGGGGCCAGGCCCAGTCAAGGATATCGTCTCCCCGGGGCCCCTGCCCTCACTCAGGAAGCAGCACTCCTAACACATTGTGAGCGCTGGGTTAGGCCCTTCCCAAAGACCTGTGAGCAGAACCAGCCAGTCAGACACACTGGTGGCTAGACCACTTTTCCTAGCCCCCCTCAGGTGGGACCTTGTGACAGTTCCCGTAGAAAGAGGCAATGGGGCCACTTCCAACCCTGGTGCAAAACACCTCTGTGGGCTACGAGCTTGTCCCTTGAAACTCATGGGTTGAGAACGGTGGGGCCCCAAGATGGAAGGGGCCTGGGTCCTGAAGTCCCTCTTGAAGAAACACTGCCGTTGATCAGATCAATCTCCTTAAGAGTCTCATGTGAGCCAACAATAAAGTTCACTGCCTTTGACCGTATGTATTTTAAGTCAGCCGCTTGCTCTAATAACTAGTGTATGTAGTATAGCATGATAACTAACATAGATAACCCACAGCCCCACTTTACAGAGGAGAAAACTGACATACAGAGAAGCTATAGAACTCGCTTGAGGCTAGCACATGGAGAAGTCAGGATTCGAACCCACAGCCTGGCTCCAGAGGTTACGCCCCTCAGCCCACCGCCCCCGCTGAAGCAGCAGGGCCGACAACACAGAGGCTCCTGGGCGTCTCCCCCTCACCTGGGCCTCCTTAAGTCTTTTGCCTGGAAGGCTGCTCCCAGCGTCCTGGGCTTCTTGCCTTCTCCAGTCGTTCCCAGCCTCTCCGTTCTGGAACCTTCTCAGTTCAGAACCTCATCTCCAGCCGTGGCCCAGCCACCGGTTCCAAAGGCGTCTTCCTCTCCCACCTACACGCATCACACCTGCATGGCACGCCCTCGGCTCTGCAGACCCCGGTGTCCAGCTTGCCCGGACTGGGCCCAGCTGGCTGCCAGGAAGACTGCTTCCGCTCCCGGGCCGCTGGAAACCACTTCCCATTCGTGGTCCCTGCCACCAGAGCTCTTGCAGTCACAGGTGACCGAAAGCCAACTGTCTTTGAGGGAGGACAATGTTTATTGGCTCACGTGACTAGGAAGTCTAAGGTGGACGGGGTTCAGGCAAGACTGGGTCCTGGTGTCTCTCTGAGGTTCCTGGGTCTCCAGCGCTGGCTTCCTTCTCAGTCAGAATCACCCGCCGGCAGCGCCCAACCTACGTTCGGTCAGCTTTGCTACCCCAGCGTGGCCGCTGTCACCCTCACCAGGACTCCGGAAAGGGCTCCCTGCTGCCTCCCGCTGCCATGGCAAAGCTGCCGTCTTGTCAAGACCCTTCCCCAACAGTCCCACCTTGAGTCCCGAGGCTCAGGGCCGCTGGCTGGCCTGCTAGGGCCACGACCCAGCCTCCACCCCTCACAGGGGCCAGAGTGTGCGCTGCAATGTCCCCACCCCTCCGCCTCAGGGAGAGGGGACAGCTGCACTCACTATAGAGTGAGCACGAGAGAGATGCTCCTCAAAAGATGGCAGGACAGGACCAGGGTGACCCCCTGGCTCCGGGCGCCCGGGCCCATCCACGCCTGCCACTCAGCCTCCTGCACCCCAAAGAAGTCAGACCCTGTTGCACCAAAACTGAATACCTCGGTGTCCCTGCCAAACCCACTCAGCGTCCTCCCCCTCGCCCTGGTCAGACGGGGGTCAGCCTTAGGCAAGCTCCCCTCACTGCCTCAGTCTCCCTCCCATCCTTCAGTCCCCTCCCTCACTACGGCCTGTGTTTCTGCTAACTTAGAAAACAAAACCCAAAACCGTTTCTCTGTCCTCGTTCTGAGCCATGGCTCTGGCCTCTGCTTCTCAGCCCTAAGCCCGCTTCCCCTCGCTTCGGCTTCTCACCTCCTGCTCCCGGCTGTCAGCCACGACCAAGCGTTCCCTAAAACCTGCGAGCTGCTGGGACAGCTGACCTCTCCCTCCTCCCAGACACACCTGGACGGGCACCACCTGTGGCTCCCAAGGGCGCTGGGTGTGGCTTTGGTGGCCTGCCCAGGCCCTCCCCTCTCTCCCTGGGGCGGGGTCGCCTCCTCTCAAGGCTCACACGTCTGTCTCCAGGCCCCCAACATCCCATGACCCATTTGATGTCTCCCCTTGGCAGCTTCACAGGCGCCCGAAACTCACCACAGCCCAACTTGTGATCCTGACCCTAATCTCGCTCTTTCTCTGTGTCCTCCAGCTGGAAAAGGGCCCCTGCCCAAGTCGCTACAGAAAGCAAGCTGGCAGTCCCTAAGGGTTCCCTCCCTCTCAGCCCCACAGCCAGTGAGCTCGTGGCACCCGTGAGTCTACTGACGACACACACCTCGAGTCTGCCCTTTGGCCGCCGTGTCTCCCAACAGCCTCACCAGCCCTGGCTCCCTGAAGGCACACGTCTGCCTTGGGGACCCCACGGTCCCAGGCTCTGCTCAGAAATGGGGGCGGACTGACTACCTGGGTCACTGTCCTGCTCGAAAGGGGATCTCTGAGCCCTCAACAGTCCGACCTACCTCTGCTCCCACGGCCCTTCCCACGTGCCCTTCATTGCACCAGGCACCGAGCTCTGTGGTCTACAAGGCCTTTTCCCATTATTTGTCCAATTTGTCCCTCTGCAGCAGTCCAGAAGGCGCAGAAGAGGCTCAGAGAAAGACAGGAACCTCGCCAGGGTCCCACGGCACAATGGAACAGGTCGTCCCCCAGAGTAACCAGCACCCCCGGCTCCGGCCTTACACCACCACTCTGCCCACCTTCCTTCCGCCAGCACCCCTGCTCCCGCCCTGGCCGAACCGTGGCCTCTGGACCCTCCTTTCACTCAGCAGCTGCCCTGCCCGCCACCGCTCTTGGCCTCAGCTCAGCAACAGAGAAAGCAGTTGGATGGACAGGAAGGTGGCCACGGAGCCCTGGACGCAGGCTGGGACAGACACGGGTGTTCCCTTTCATTATTAATTTTTTAATAAATTTAAGAACAGCTCTATCTTCTCTCCTCCCCCCAGAGCAACTAAAACCAACTAAAAGGGGGCATGGCCTGGGGGGCAGAGGGCGCTAGGAGTCATAGTCCTCTTCGTCCTCTGCGTCAGGTGCCGGGGGGCCCGGGGGGGCTGGGGGCAGAGGCAGAGTCGAGGTGAAGGGCATGAAGGGTGTCGGGGGGCTGCAGGGCAGAAAGCAGGAGAGAAAGATCAGGCCCCTCTCCGGTGCCCATTTCTGCCCGCTGAGCCCTGCCTCACCCCCGCCAGCATGGAGCCCATGGCCCTGTGTACCAGGGGGTGGCCAAGCCCAGAGAAGGGAAGGACCTAGAACAGGTCACATGTTCAGTGGGGCTGGGTGCGGGTCAGGAAGGAGACCTTCCGAGAGCAGTCTCCTGCATTTAAGCCCTCCTCAGTTCCTCCCCTCCTGTCCTCCAGATCTGCCACGAGGACAAAAAGGACATGTCAGCCTTGTGGAGTCTGCTAGCCCCCCTCTCTTGCCACTGAGGTGCTTACCTCTGAAAGTGGGCAGGGGGATGGCTGGCCTGGGCTGGAGCCTGTGATGTCTCCTCTTCCCCATCAGTGTCTGTGTCATCAGAGTCATCCTGGGAGCAAGGCAAGGGGCAGAGATGACAAGAAAAGCATGAGCTCATCACTGGAGAGCCTAGACCCTCAGGAGTGGCAAGGACAGAAGACTGAGCTCTACAGCCTAACCTTTACGGGCCCAATTTACAAAAGAGCATAGGTGAGGACGGGACCAGGTGTCCAGCCAACAAGGCCTGACAGAAAACTGCCCTCTCCACACCACAGGGTAGGGCAGGGGGCTGGGGAGGCCTCACTCACCTCCTGCTCCGAGTCCGTCCCCGACAGCTTCTTGTCCTTGCTTTTGCTTCCCATCCCACCATTCTTCCGGCCACCGCTGCCAGGCTTCCGGCCCCTTCGGGAAGGGACAGTCCATCTGCCCAGAGATCTCAGAACTCCCTGACCACCCCCAACCACCCCCAACCCGGGTGGCCTTGGCCTTCCTTGCCTGGACACCTGGCCCTGGCTCCCCACCTGCGGGTACCCTTGTCCCCGTCCATGTGGTTGTCTTCCCCGTCTCCCTGCATGTCAGGCACAGAAGCCACCAGGTCCTTCAAGAAGTCAAACTGCTGCTCCAGCTCAATGCACTGCTTCCTGGAAGTGGTGGGGAGAAGACGGCATTCAGGTGGGGCCCAGATGTCTGGGCCCTCAGCAAGGGACAGTAAGGGTCTTTGGATGTCAGGAGAACGGAGCCTGGAAAACCTCCACCCCATCTCCACTAAGGGACCTTCCGATTAGGCTAGACCACCCAGCCCCTCCTCCCCCAGTTCAAACCCACCAGCGTCTGAGGCACTGCTGGTCTCCCAGCAGCCTCCCACCTCCCCTAAGTGTGTGAACTCCTAGGGCAGGATCCCACTGGGCCCGACCAGCTCCGGGCCACTCACAGGTGGGATGTGGTCATGGTCTTGGCATTTCGGGACTGGGTCACCTGGCAAGCCTTCTTCAACAGGGACTCCAGGAACAGCTCAAGCGCCCGCGCTGAGGAGCGTCAAGGAGAATACGGGTGGGGGATCCCCAGCCTAAAGAAGGCGACCCCGGGCTTCCTCCCTACCCCACGTCCCTCAACCTGGCCAGGCCCCGACAGGATACAGATGATGACAGGCACCGCCGCTGCCACCTTCCCGATCTCTTCGTCAGTTTGCATGATCTTCTTGATCCGCGCCTGGGAAGGGGGCAGAAAACTCGGACCCTGTCACCTCCGTCCCAGAAAGGGGTGCTGGGAAGGGGGGATGAGAGAGGGTATCCGGGAGAAAGGGGGCGGGGGGGCCCCGACGCCAAGAGAGCACGGAAGGGGGCGGGGCGTCCGTGCCCCCGAACACCGCGACGCGCCCGCCCCCCCACCCACCCCGGCTTGGGCCCGAGCCTCCCGGGAGCCCGGCCTGCTTGCCCGGGCCCGGCCACGTGCTCACCGGCGGGAACCGCGCGTTATACTTTTTCTTCTTGCTCGGCATCTCAGGGCCTCTCTCGCCGCACCCGGCCCAGCGCCGCCGCCCGCAGCTTCCCGGCCCCCGGGCCTGCTCGCCACCCGCCTGCCGCGGTTCCCCCGGGTCCTGGTGCCGCCTGCTCCGCCCCCGCCGCTCCCCACGAGGTCCTAGCGCCGCCGGTCAGCACGCCGCTCTCAGGGCGGGAGAGCCTTCCCCTTGGAGCCTCCCCGGCGGTGCGCGTCGATCCCGGACGGGACCGCCACTCCCGCCGGCCCCCCAAGCTTAGGAGAACGAACGTTAGCCCCGCCCCCGGATCCCGGCCCCGCCCCCGGGGTCAGCCCCTCCCCTCTCAGGCCCCGCCCCGCGGCGCGGCCGACCGGCCCGGTGGCCCCGCCCCGTGCTGCGCTTGTCTATAAAGTTGTTGTTGAGACAGCGGGCGCTAAGATGGCGGCGGCGGCGGCAGCCGCGGCGGGGGCGGGGCGCGGCGGTGGCGGCGGCGGCGGCGGCAGCGGCGGCGATGCAGAGCCCCGGCAGGAGCGGAACCGGGCGCGGGGCTGGGCCGGCGCGGAGCGCGGCGAAGGCCGGAGGTGACGGCGGGGATGCGGGACGGGGCAGGGCTGGGCGGAGGCGCGGCTCGGGCTGTGGGCGCTAATGGCGGCGGGCGCGGCTGGCCCGAGGCTGGCGCATTCCTAGGCTCTAACAAGCTTGGGTTCCAGTCCGGCTGCCGCCCCGTTGGCCTTGGACCGGGCACTGCTCTTTCTGAGCCTCAGCGTGCTTGTCTTCAGGTGGACCCGACAGCGCCATCCTCGAGGGTCTGGCCCTACTGGGCCTGCCTCGATGCTGCGCGAACGTGCGCTTCTTTGCTTCCCTCGTTAAATCCCAGCGCTCCGGATTCCTGCCAGTTATTGACAGGGCCAGGAGGTGTAGCTGGGCTGTTTGCTCCCCAACCTGAATTCACATTTCGGCTCTGTCACTCATTGCAGGTGTGACCTTGGGTAAGTCACTTCTTTCTCAGCCTCAGTTTTTGGTCTGTGCATCAGGGAGAGTGATAATGAGCTGAGCAACAGCCTTTATGGAGCCCTTATTCCACCTGGGGCGTTTAAGGCTCGACAGCTCTAGGGGACAGGAACAGTTGTCAGCTGTAGAGATGAGGTAACTGAGGCATGGGACCTTAAGTCTCACCCAAGGCCACAGAGTTTAGCTCATTGGCCGCACCTGCTAGGGCCCAGCCAAGCTGTAGATGTGTCCTGGACCTGTGCTAACTCGGTTCCTCTATAGCAGGATGGAGCCCGGTGAAGAGATGGAGGAGGAAGACTCTCCAGGCGGCCGTGAGGATGGCTTCACTGCTGAGCACCTGGCCGCGGAGGCCATGGCAGCGGACATGGACCCCTGGCTGGTGTTTGATGCCCGCACCACACCTGCCGCCGAGCTGGATGCCTGGTTGGCCAAGTACCCACCCTCCCAAGTTACTCGCTATGGGGACCCTGGCTCGCCCAACTCTGAGCCTGTGGGCTGGATTGCGGCATATGGGCAGGGCTACGTCCCCAACTCGGGTGATGTGCAGGGCCTACAGGCAGCCTGGGGAGCTCTGCAGACCAGTGGGCGGCCCATCACACCGAGTACCCTGCGCCAGCTGGCCATCACCCATCACGTGCTCTCTGGCAAGTGGCTGATACACCTGGCACCTGGCTTCAAGCTGGACCACGCCTGGGCCGGCATTGCTCGGGCTGTGGTCGAGGGCCGGCTTCAGGTGGCCAAGGTGAGCCCACGGGCCAGGGAGGGGGGGCGCCAAGTCATCTGTGTTTACACGGATGACTTCACGGACCGCTTGGGTGTGCTAGAGGCGGATGCGGCCATCCGTGCAGCAGGCATCAAGTGTCTGCTCACCTACAAGCCTGACGTCTACACCTACCTGGGCATCTACCGGGCCAACCGCTGGCACCTCTGCCCCACTCTCTACGAGAGTCGTTTTCAGCTGGGGGGCAGTACCCGTGGCTCCCGTGTGCTGGACCGCGCCAACAATGTGGAACTGACCTAATTCGGCCAGTCAGGGGAGACCACCTTCTGCCCCCCTTGCCCCCCCCCCCGCTAGGGATGGATTCTCCCGTCTTCCTCCTCTTTGTCCCACGGAATTTGAGCCCCCTAGCTCTGAGGACTGCGTCAGTCAGTCGGTCAACCGGGAACTGCCTGCATCTTCGATCCCCTTGAACTCTTGCCCTCTGTTCAGGGCTGACTCAAGTCCCCGCCAGCTGGAGGCTCTGGCTCCCTGAGGGCCGGACCCTCAGCCTCTCTTTTCACTGCTGCTCCCCTCTGTCATCCAGGACCACAGACTGGGTACAGATTCCCAGGAGGAGAGCCTGCCCCGGCCACCCTCATCCCCAGCTGTACCTCTCCTGAAACCTTTCCTTCTCCTCCCTCACAAGAGACAAAAATGAGTGCTTCCGGTCCCTCTTGGAGCCTTCACAGTCCAGGGGGCAAGGGCCCGGCGGGCTTAAGCATGCTATTTCGGGGGGGGGGGGGGAGGGTAATTGTACCCACTCAGCCCTTGGCAGAGAGAGGGGATGCCAGGGCCATGGACATGGGGCCTGCCCCTCCCCTGTCACCTTAAACAGCCTGCACCACCTTCCTTCCTTCCTTCCTTCCTTTACTATTTTGACATGTGCCTGCTCCTGGCATTTCAATAAAACCCAGTTTGGGTCTGTGTCTTGAGTGTTTTTTAAAATACTGGTTGCCTGCTTTGGTTTCTGAGGAGAGGCCCGGCCAAGCGAGACTTCTTCTCAGCCCTACCTGGGAACCCCTAACTGCTCCCCAGTAATAAGATTCATCTCCCTGCCAAGGCTGGGAACCTCCCTGAGAGCCTCTGCAAAACCAGTCCTTCTTCTCCTCCATCCCAAGAATCAGAATCGGTTTCTTAGTGGTTTCCCATAAATCTAGGGGCTTGACCCAGCAAAGTCTGAGGGGCTACTACTGGGCCCTACTGGGTGTATTTGTGTCAGTTAAAGAAGGGTACTCTCTTGGTTCTAGCATTTCTAGGTTAAGGAATACAGCCCGGTGAGTGGAGGATGGGCTAGATTTCGACAGCCTAGGTTGGACTTCTTACGCAGTAAGCAGCCTGCACAGCTGTAAGGAACTCTGGACATTCTCACGTTTTGCCTCACTTCTCCCACCCTGACTATCCTGGGCCACTGGGCAGTTTGCAAAGCACTTCATATGTCTTATTTAAGTCTCGTAAGCTGCTTAGGAGATGTGGGTCCCATTGTGTGGTCAAGGAAATAGAGGCCAAGAGGGAAAAGGAATTCTCCAGGGTCGTGTGGTGAGCTGAGCAGAGGAGGACTTAGCCCCCGGCCTATGCCTCCTCCTTGGACTGTTACCCAGGGCCTCGCCCACTGTGAGTTCTTCACAACCCCCAAGGCACAGTCATTCACATGATCGTGGGCAGCACCACTCGGTTGAGGCTACTGTAGTCTGGGAGCCTGGCCTTGGCCTTGGTTGGGGGCCAAGATTTCTGGCAAGGAGCCCCTTGGGACGCTGCTCTCGTGCCGTGCCGGAGCTGACTCAGCCTCCAGCAGCCTCACCAAATTGGAATTTGGAGCAGGGGAGCGGAGATGCCACCGGGCTGACTGGGTGGAAGTGGGTGAGTCATGAGATGCTGCCTCAGCCCCCTCCCCAGCTTCCTCCTCACCCCGAGTTTCCCCAGCCCTGAGTTGCCTCAGCCCAGCCCTGGGCAGTCCCAGGTGGTCTCTGATTTGGAGCCCCGTTACCCTGCCTCCCTCAGACAAGCAATGCTTTGCGCTTGACCAAATTGGGCCAAGGCTCCGGGGGGTCCTGCCAGGCCCTGATGGGTCCCACAAAGCAGCCCAGGTGGTATCAACAGCACCTGATGGTCCTTCCCTAACATTTCCTAAGCATCTCGCAAACTCTCCCTCTCTCTTCCATCCTCATGGCCTTGCCTTAGCCCAGTCCTCACTCTCCCTCCCACCACCGCAGTTTGCCTCCGTTGCCCCATTCTCTCCGACTGACCCCGTCTATCCCCCTGCAGCCAGCTCTCCTGCAGAGCTACCTGTGCCCCTCTCCTACTCAAAGCCCTTCCATGGTTCCCCATAGCCTGCAATCTGGAGTCCACTCTCCCGAGGCAGCCATGACCCTAGACCCCTGCCGAGCCCCAGCTCTCCTCAGGTACCCCTTCCCGCCTGTGCTCACCCCACTGGAACCAACTGGCACTTCCTTCACCCCTTGGCATGCAGCCGTGGGTCTCAGGCTGTTCCTTCTGCTTGAACACCTGTCGTTCAGCAAGGATTGGGAGGTTACTTATGTAATCACCCATTTGATGCTATCTTCCACTGGCCCCCAAGCCGCGTGCCCAGACTGGGGGTCTCAGTGAAAGCAAGAACAGCATCTAAGGGGCGCCTGGGGGGCTCAGTGGGTTAAAGCCTCTGCTTTCGGCTCGGGTCATGATCCCAGGGTCCTGGGATCGAGCCCCACATCGGGCTCTCTGCTCAGCAAGGAGCCTGCTTCCCTTCCTCTCTCTCTGCCTGCCTCTCTGTCTACCTGTGATCTCTGTCAAATAAATTAAAAAAAAAAAAAAAAAAGAACAGCATCTAAAATCTCAGCCCTGTCCCAAGAGCCTAGCACAGTGCTTGACCAGAGCAACCTCTCCATAAATCAACTAAAATCCGAATCCAGATTTCAATCTGAATCCAGCCTTGCCTGTTCCCCCGGACTCCTCTCCTCCACTCTCTGCTTCACTCTTCTCCCTCCAGAAGCAAACAGCTACCCGTTTTCTTGCAGTCATGCTGGGCATTCTCGCTTCAGTGCCTTGCTCATGCCCTCCATTTGGTGTGCCTGACCCTCCCATGCTTTCTTGGCTAAACACACCTCACACCTACCAGCCCCTCCTCCCAGAGATTTCTCCTCCATCATTCACCCACACCTCAGGCTCCCGTAACACCCACCCCACTGCGGCTCTCATCTGTGTGTGGGGGGACCCCCCCCCCACAAGGACAATGGCTCCACTTTGTCCCGCATGGGGTCTGCAGGGTCCAGCATAGGACCTGGCCGAGCACAAGTGCCAGATACACATCGAATAAGTGAATGAATGAATGAAAGTCACTCTCTGTCTCCGAGCCTGTTTCCTCATTCCGTTCATAACAAGAGCCAGGCACTGTGCTGAATGTTTTCCTCTATCCTCTCCTCAAAGTCTCACGTCGCTCTGTTATTACTGCCGTTTTGCCGTCGAGGAAACTGAGGCCCAAAGTGGTTCAGTGATTGGTTCCAGGTTACAAAGCCATAAGGGGCAG